GTGATATAATACTTTAAAATGAGAATTAAAACAGTATCAAGTTTATTGAAAGTAAGAATAAATTATTTTCATAAAAAACATAAATATATTTATTTAATTATACTAAAAAATCGTATATATTAAATTTTAATTCTCTAAAGACATCATTAAAGTTGATTCACCATAACTAAACCTGGTTCTATATCATATTTTTGACTTTTAATATATCTCTATGGGAATAAATAAATAAATAAGAAATTCAAATGGTTAAATTAAAACAAATTTTTATTTAAAAAATATTTCACTTTTGCAAATACACGTTTATAAACCAAGAAGAATTTTATCAACTTATTCTAAGTTGATAAAATTAGTCAAATTGTCAAATAATCAAAAAATCAGGCAAATTGTAAAATTAATTACTTACTAGTTTAATAGGCATATCGATTGACAAAGACAATTAAGGCACAGGTCTTTCGGTAAGGGGAATCCGAAATCGAATCCTGACGATTCAAATTCCTAGCAATTTTTAGTAGTCTGTCCCTTGTTATTCTGCCGCCATTGTGAGACTGGATGAACCCTCGACGGATATGATTAAAAAAGAACCTCTAGTGCCCTAAGAGCGGAAAGAGTAAAAAAATTAATCTAGTTTAATACATTAAAATGTTTTGCAGATTTGTTAGGAAAAATTATAAAGATTTGTTTTGGTGGGATACGGTAACGAAAGAAAGGAGAAACGTCTCTCGGGAGTACTTACTATGAAAAACTGGTTCCTATTTAAGTTAGACATTTGAAGAAACCCATGAAAATTCCGGATAGTGAGGCGAGAATTCGCCATCAACTACCAGTGTTTAGTGGTTTTTATCCATTCGACCACTGATGAGTAAATTATAAAAGGAATAATATGAATGCAAGGATACTTTTAAATTTTGTCCAATAAAAATTTTTAAAAAAGTTATTTATTTATTTATAAAAGTCAATTTCACTAATTCAGTTTCGTTTCTTTAAAAAATTTGTTTTCTTGGTTACTTTATTAATTATATTAGAAAAGTTAAAAAGAAAACTCTCTTCGTTTATATATAAAATTGATTATAATAAAAACTTAGTTTTTAACAAATTAACTAAATTTTCAAACTTCAAACTTTATAAAAAATATTTATAATGAAAATTTAATATTTTAAAAACGTAAATTGTTTTTTTATAAATCAAACTTTAAAATATTACAGACAATAAAATCATTTATTTAATTGAAAATATTTTTTCTTCGACTTCTTTAGTTTACTTTTCAAGAATTTAATTAAAATAACTTTGAAGTAGATAAAAACTGAAAATAAAATTAAAATAAATATTTAAAAAAAAATCTAGATTTTCATTCTGAATAAATTTCATTTATTTTTAAAAAAAATATATTTTTCTCTTTGAAAAATAATAAAATGTAACTACCTCATATAGGAGACTGGTCAAATTACTTTAATAACTTTGAATCTATTCTTATAAGAATATTGTGAAGGATGTAAATATTGAATTAACTGTTCTAGATATTAATATTTTTTATTACAAGTTAGAATGAGAAAAATATAATTTATCTTATTGAAAATAATAGAGAGAACAATATAACATCTTTGAGAGTAAGGAGATGTATTTCATAAAATTATATTCTATTTTAAGAAATTATTTTAAACAAAGCAAGTAGTAAAGAAATTGGAATATTTTCAACTCTTACCAACAATATAAAAAAAAATTTGCTGCCCTTCATCTCCATTAATAAAGATTGGATTAAATTAATGAAATAAAGCAATGCAATAAGTGGGTGATCTGCCGTGGGGAATATCTCCCGGAAAAACTTTCTATGGAAAATGGGTCTCTGTTTTGATGTTAGACTAGTAGAAGCAACTTAAAACTCTACATGTCCAAGTTGTTGATGAGGCACGAATCCGCAATCAACTGTGGTTTTATCACTCGGCTACTGTTGGCATTGATGGAGAAGGCCAGACATTAGGGTCTCCGATTTAAACGAAAGTTGGAGAGCACGTAGCCTTAAACACATACAGTTCCTTGTCCAAATAATAGGACCCATTTCTCAAGCGTTTCAAAAAAGGGTCTTTGAAATTTGAGTGTTTACCTTAAAAGTCTTTGGAATTTTCACTTCTGGTAACGGCGATAGCCAATGGATAATAGAGTTACACGATTTAGATTCGAACCTTCGCATTCTTTTGTCTTTTTTTTTTTAATGCGAAACAAAATTATTTTATTATTTTGCCCTAAAATTAGCATTATTATTCTTCATGTTTAAAGCTTATAAAACAAGAGATTCAAAAATTGTAATGTCATTTCCTGTTTAGTGAAAACGAAGTCTGTAGGGGTGCTTATGCTTTTCGTTTCAGATGGATCGATCTGTAAGATCGGATTAGTTTTTGTCACGTAATAAAGATCGCTTCTGTCGTGTTTTAGTTGGCAGAAAGTATACAAGTAGGATCGAATCGTATTTACTCCTGAATAAAACTGTTCACATGATGGCAAAATGGTAGTGCACGCCATTTATTCTTATCATACAATCTCGCAAAACTGTCTCTTAATACTTACTTTTTTCATCTGTTTATCGGATATTTTAATAACATCTTTACTTACATTTATTAAGTTTTAAATACTTTTCATTATCAACAGTTATACATATTTCTTTGCTGTTAACTATCAGCTTGATGTTAACCACGGAGGTCGCCATCTTTAATCTTTTTTATCCCATCCAAACGATCTCACCCTTCGCTCGGATTAGTTTGATCGGGATCCAGTTGATCCTAGATAGCGTTTGTATACGCGGATAGAGATTGATCAGATCGGTATAGTTCGTTTCTACACGGGATTTGAACGATCAGCAAAATCTCGGATCAGTTTGATTCCAAATGTATATGCACTATAGATTTAAAGAAAATTATTTCTTAGAAAAACATATAATATCAATTATAGTTAAAAAATATATTTATTTGTCCTAATAAAATTAAGGAATTTTTTGATTTGGCTTCTAGTCATAAGGATTAAGATAAAGAAGTGCTAACAACAATAGAAATACAATACAAGTAATAAAATAATCATGTCAAAATAATCGAATAACACAAAGGAAAGATATTGGTGACAATAAAGAGGAAAAAATATATTTATCTTTCCGTTTTATTTATGAAGTTTGACGGTTTTAAAATATTTAGAAACCGTCAAAATTTACCGATGATAATAAAATGGCACTTTTTAAAAGAATTCTTTCATCCCAGAAAACATTTCTCACAGGCCCACAATAGGGTGGATAAGTAATGAGAGACAAGGCCCGACATATCCGAGACAGGCCACCCCCGAAAAAATTCCTGTGGTTATTTCGATCGCTGGCATTCGATTCCGGATCCTTCAGAGCCGTAAGCTGAAGCCTTAACAGACTTGCCAATAAAATTAAACTGTAAAAAATGATAAATTTAACATACGAAATCAATAGAAATTTCTTTAATTTATTATAATTTAGAATTCGATAGAAACTCTTTAATTGCATTTAATAGTTTTTTAGATATGAGATTGGTTGAAATTATCGACTGGGCTCGCAACTGTACAGTACTTGAGTAAGAACTTTGATTGTTTCTCTTTGATTGTTTTTCCACATAAATTCCTTTTCAATCACAAAGTATTTACCAGTTTTCGGATCGGTCGGTTAACTTTTCTTGTTTTTCTTCGACAATCAGCTAGACTGGGGTGAAAATGTCAAGATAGAGAACCTAAATGACAAGTTCCGTTTCGCAGGTTTTAAATCCAATTTAACAGTACTTACACGACTTTATGTTAAAGTTTACTTAATTATAGCAACCGTTAAAAATAGAAAAGAATTCAAAAATGTAATCGATATTTTTTAAAATGCATTTCGCTATTTTTCTTGTGACAAAAATATGTAAAAAATATCTCTCTTTTTTTGTATATTAATTAATGTTAGAAAAAATCACAAAAAATTATAAAAGTAAAAATAATTAAGTAACATTATATAATTTTATTGACTGAAATATTATTAAATAAAATATAACGTATATAATAACAGGGAAACAAAAAGCGCCATCTATCGATGAAAAATGCTATTACATTTTTGTATATTTACCTTAACGCACTGTATTATTTTCGATGATTTTTATATTTTTAAATATATTTTTATCAATATATCACACAACACATTATAAATGACTAAAGAGATTATAAATAAAAACTTTTTCAGCATATGAGAAAAGAAAATAAATTGAATGTATATTGTATATTGAGGTATATATATATAACTTATATATTGCCACTTAAAGTAAATATAGTGGCATTAGTTTATTATCAATCAAAATTTCGTTGTAACAAGTTACCGAAAATACTCCGAACGACATCGTTTATCAATTACGAATTATGATGTATTTATATGTAGTGTGTGGCAATGACAAAAAACGATGCCATTTTTCTTAATTTTCGCAACATTTATAAAGAAAAATTCGAATTAAAATTGTTTTACAATAATTTAAAACTTCTTTTAAGTACTAAAGTTTTTTTTTAAAAAAAAAGAAACTATTATAAAATTCAGATATTCATTAGACTTTATAAAACATTTATATGTTTTACTTTATTGTTGATAATGTATTAATTAAAGCAATTGTGGTTGGATAATGTCACATTTAATCTTTCTATTTGCATTAAAATCTCTTAACGTCAACATTCCTAATTCAACAAAACTTCTTCTTACAATGTTTTTTTTTTTTTTTTTGTTTGTTACAAGAAAACAAAAATTTAGGGTGAATAAACACAAGGGAATTATAACTTTATCAGAGAGACGGGGCTTCCATTAAGGTTTTCCCACTCTTCTTTTATTTTGTGTGTTTACACTGCTGATAATAAAGATTCGGAATTTCTCTTTTCTAAGAATCAAGTCTGGATTTATAAATAAACTAAATAAACTACAGCTTAGGGCCTCGTTCCATCCTCAAAAAATGAATTAATACGTATTAATCAGTATTATTCGATGGAGAATTTAGGGCCTGTTGTATGTCGTAGCAGAGGGTCACGTGTTTAAATCCGGCTCAGCTTAGAATTTTCTGTTTATAGTTTATATCAATTTCTTTAATAATAAGTTTTTCATCTACAAATATAAATTTATATATTTTCCATTATCTTCTGTAGGACTTTGTTAAAAATTAAGTTTTTTATTATTTATTTTTTTCTAGTTTAATTATTTAAAATACAAATCATTTTCTGTTTACACGAAACACGAAATTCATTTGTTTTTATGAAAATAATAAAGAGATATAAAATTCATTTAAAATGCACCGAAGAAATTGGAAAACATTTAAATTAATAAAATTTTTGTAAAAATTTTTAAATCCTAAGATTAACTTTCTATACAAATAAATAAAAAGAAATATTAAAAATCAAATTTTTTACTTTATCTCATTTGATAAGATAAAAAATTACAATACAGTATACTTATAAAATTTTCTTTAGAAATTTCAACTTACCTTTTTTTATTATTATTTATTTATTTATTGGAAACAGTTGCGTGTACCTAGCATCGTTTGGGTTTTTGAGGGGTGAGGTGGGGTTGGGAGACGATGATAAAAACAATGGTCTTAGTAACTAAAATGTACATTTATTGACCCGAGCAAAAAAAAAAATGCTCGGGCTTAAGAGGGGTGGGCTTTAGCTTCAGCTTTAGAAGGCATATTTATATTGATATATATATATTCTTGAAATACAGGTAATAATTTAGGAGGTAGAGATCCCTACCCACCTCCTAAATTATTACCTGTATTTCAAGAATATATATGCCAAATTTGGTGCGATTAGAACGGTATAGAAACATTTTCTAGCACACATTTTGTCTTCTATTTTCCCGGCTGTTATATATAACAGAGAGAAATTAAAAGTATGGCAGATCAAAAAATGACACCCCAAGATTTTTACATTTTTGGACTCAGGGAATCTTGAAATGTCAAGAAATGTAAAAAAAAAAAAAATCGTGGTTTTTTCCTGTATGTCTGAATGTTAATGTGGGGGTGGGCACGATTTTGTTCATCTACTTTGAAAGCTCAATAACTTCTGCGCCTTTACCCGAAGATTTCTGAAATTTTGCAGGGAGGTTTGTGTATTAGGGGCATTGTGCTATCCAATTTTGGTGGTTAAACGTCAAGGAGGTAGAGAGGGTCATGTGTCATATCTCAACTGGAGTCGGACTTATGAAGATTTTACTCGTTATTAGCATTTATAATTTTTTAATATATAAAACTCATCTCTACGCTGAAAATTAAGCATGTTGTCATTTTATAATAATTAATAATATAAAATGTTTTTACTAAAATTTCATAACAGATGGCACCACACAATTTTGGTGTTTTTAAAAGGAAACTTACGCAACTCGTTGCTGGATTTATATATGTATATATAGATCTGTAATAAATAATAATTTTTATATTTATTTTAAAGTTGACCAATTTAAAACGTTATCTNAACTTCTTTTAAGTACTAAAGTTTTTTTTTAAAAAAACTATTATAAAATTCAGATATTCATTAGACTTTATAAAACATTTATATGTTTTACTTTATTGTTGATAATGTATTAATTAAAGCAATTGTGGTTGGATAATGTCACATTTAATCTTTCTATTTGCATTAAAATCTCTTAACGTCAACATTCCTAATTCAACAAAACTTCTTCTTACAATGTTTTTTTTTTTTTTTTTGTTTGTTACAAGAAAACAAAAATTTAGGGTGAATAAACACAAGGGAATTATAACTTTATCAGAGAGACGGGGCTTCCATTAAGGTTTTCCCACTCTTCTTTTATTTTGTGTGTTTACACTGCTGATAATAAAGATTCGGAATTTCTCTTTTCTAAGAATCAAGTCTGGATTTATAAATAAACTAAATAAACTACAGCTTAGGGCCTCGTTCCATCCTCAAAAAATAATTCAATATTCCAATTTCAGTATAATTAAGATAAATCGATAGATAGAGAAATGGAATTCGAAAGGATACATTTTTTTTTGTTATTGATTATAAGACAACGACTTAAGAGACAAGAAATAAACTGAAGATAGGGTTTAGATATCATATCAAAATTAATTTAATTTAATATAATCGAATAAAATCTGAAATTAGATCTTTTATAAAAGAATATTAGCTGATATAAGAAGCGTATGAGTATCGAGTTCTTATTGAAAACAGACATAAAAATATACGAAAATATAATCATAAGAAAGAAAACAAAGTATTTAAAAATTAAAATATATTTAAACTTTCAGGTTATTATTGTATAATTTACAAATAATTTATAAAGAATGAGCTAAAGTCGCTTAACACCCTTATAAAAATCGAGCCGAGTTGAAAGGCAAGTTTTAGCATAGAAACATGTTACGTGGCATTTTTGCATGATAGAAAAACAAGTTATGTCTTTGTTTTTAACACGGCATAATGCTAAATAACACGATAGACACATGGTTAGAAACATATTATGCCATTCAATTGACATAATATAAAAATTTTGGCATGTTTTTATCATGCCAAAATTTCCCTTGCCAACTCAGCTCGATTTTATAAGAGTGTTAAACAATTTCTTTTACTGTTTCCAACCATAGTTTATATATAAAACGAAATTCTCGAATAATTTTAAAATAAGGTTAAACTTCAACAACAACTGAAGAAATTCAAGAAATAACTTAATATAGTCGCCCACGCAAAGAAAGAAGGGAGAAAAAAACATTTAAAAAATGATTTGAATATGATAAGCTTTGAAAATATATCGAGCAATTTAAGANTAGGAGGTAGAGATCCCTACCCACCTCCTAAATTATTACCTGTATTTCAAGAATATATATGCCAAATTTGGTGCGATTAGAACGGTATAGAAACATTTTCTAGCACACATTTTGTCTTCTATTTTCCCGGCTGTTATATATAACAGAGAGAAATTAAAAGTATGGCAGATCAAAAAATGACACCCCAAGATTTTTACATTTTTGGACTCAGGGAATCTTGAAATGTCAAGAAATGTAAAAAAAAAAAAAATCGTGGTTTTTTCCTGTATGTCTGAATGTTAATGTGGGGGTGGGCACGATTTTGTTCATCTACTTTGAAAGCTCAATAACTTCTGCGCCTTTACCCGAAGATTTCTGAAATTTTGCAGGGAGGTTTGTGTATTAGGGGCATTGTGCTATCCAATTTTGGTGGTTAAACGTCAAGGAGGTAGAGAGGGTCATGTGTCATATCTCAACTGGAGTCGGACTTATGAAGATTTTACTCGTTATTAGCATTTATAATTTTTTAATATATAAAACTCATCTCTACGCTGAAAATTAAGCATGTTGTCATTTTATAATAATTAATAATATAAAATGTTTTTACTAAAATTTCATAACAGATGGCACCACACAATTTTGGTGTTTTTAAAAGGAAACTTACGCAACTCGTTGCTGGATTTATATATGTATATATAGATCTGTAATAAATAATAATTTTTATATTTATTTTAAAGTTGACCAATTTAAAACGTTATCTTAATTTAAGTAGAAAAAATATAAATAAAAAAATCAAATTTTAATCTGCCCCATTTTATTTTTGGAGAGGTACTCCATTTCATAATGAAACATTTTACAATATATCTTGATAAAATATCTAAAATATGATTGGTTCAGCCAAGGCACATTAAGATATAATATCGCCTAAATTTCCATTTAACTGTGAAAATTTATTGAATCCACTCAATGTTAAACATTTAGTTTCATAAAAGAATAAAGATATTTTAAATGGCTCATATATTATTTATTATAAATGTAGAATTCAATATAATATCTCCAAATAAATTTCGCTTGTATTTAATTTAAAACTATAAACATTTAAATACTTATATTGATATAAATTTCATATTTTATCACATCTTTTCAATATTTCATTTCTTTCATTCTTTTCAAATCATGAAACCCGTACAAAAATTTTTAAATTTAGGCCTATTATTTTATAATTTTAAATAGAACTTTCTAAATATTAAGTATTTGTAATATGATTAAAAAAGTAATAAACATCAATTATTAATATTATTTATAATATTAAGATTTTTGTAATATTTCAGCGAATTTCCAAATATCTTCGGCCAAAAGAGCTGGTTCCTCCATAGCAGCAAAATGGCCTCCTCTTGGCATATGAGTGTATTGAGTAAGATTTCTAAATTGCCGTTCTATAGTTATTCTGGGAGAATTGTAAAGATCATTAGGAAAAATTGCGATAGCGGCAGGCACATGAACAGGCAACCTATAAAAATATCATTTTAATTTCAAAGAAATCATTAAACAAAGAATTAATTAATAATTAGTAAGTAAAATTTACTTGTTAAGTTTCATATTCAAAACTTTCTCTGCCATGTTTTCTTTGTAAAATCTTACTGATGAAGTAATCGAATTTGTTACCCAATATACCATAACATTATTCAGCAGTTCATCTAAGTTATGGTACTTTGTCAATCCTCCATCAACTGCATTAATGTTGTTTTTATGTGTCCAGGTAGAGAATTTCTCTAAAATATAAGCAGCCAATCCAGCTGGAGAATCGCTCAATCCAACGCCTGAAAATGAAAACTATTATAAAATTGTTCAAAATAAAATATTAATTTAAGAACTAAATTTTTATAACTTACCAACTGTATCGGGCTTTGTAGCTTGTATATGCAAGTATCCAGTTTCTCGGAGTAATACCATTAGTTTATCAATAATTGGGTAACTATATTTCTGATCCTCGGCTCCCATCACCCAATTTGGATTTATCATGCCAATTAACAGTTTGAAAATTGAGTTACAATTGAAGTCGCCCAAAATCATATTTAAATGTACGCCAGTAACTCTGATAAAAAAAAAAGATTACAATGAATAAAATTGTTTAGCATTTCGTAAGCTAATAATTGATACTACTAACCTATTGGAATATATAGCAGACATTGCAGTAGCAATGGCACTGCCCCAATCACCTCCCTGAACATAGTAGTTTTTATGTTTCAAACGATCCATCAACTTATTGAATATTCTTGCTGCATCAAACATATTAAACCCTAACGAAACATATGCATTAGAATAATATTATATATACTGCATATTAGTAAAATACGCGCCAAATGAATTAACGGAACGAGACAAAACATCTGAATTGAGTTTAAAGCATCATAAGTTTTGAACTTAAAAAGATAATTTTTGGTGCAAAGATTTTAAAATTATGTCATCACACATACTCTGTTACTCAGTTATAGCACATGAAATTTTCGAAAATTCATGAGTCAATTTGGAAAAATGGTTTTAAAAGAGGACACATTAAGAGATTGCGTTGTACAAATGTTCAAAAATAAAGTGAATTACTCAAAAAATTGGCAGTGGAGCATTTTTTAACCAAAGGTCATAGCAAATAAACTGTATATATTATTTTGATGAAGTATGAAATATCTGAAACAATGAAAAGAAGGCCAAGAAGTGGAAGAAAGCCAGTTACAAACTTTAAAAACCTAAGAGTATTGCGACAAATGTTTGACAACAAAGATGCATTTAGTCAGCTAGAAGGTTCACTTGTCATCGAACATACATAGGTAAGACACTTAAGAAGATGGGAATAAAGAAAAAGAAGAAGAAAAGAACCCCAGAGTACACTGTTGAAAAAACTGCCGAAATTCAAATGCAATGCAGATAGCTAGTACGAAATTTTGGAAACAAAAAGTTCGTTTTGGACAATGAGAAGTACTTTTCTCTCTCTGGTATGCAAATGCCGGGAAATGAAATTTACTATGCGAGCAATGAAAATCAAGCACCTCCCGAAGTGAAGTACAAATTTAAGAAGAAATTTGAAGCAAAATAATGCTGTACATTTTAATTTCACCAACAGGTGTTTCGAAGCTATTTTTTAAAAGGGATCTCTTAAAAGGTTTTCTTAATGTCAGTAGCGTCTAAATAGGGGCCAATTTCCCATAAAAACCTCCAGGGAGGTATTCCCTCCTCGACAGATCGCCCATATGTTACGTTGCTTTAATCGAATAAAATTATCAATATGATGATTTCGTCTTTTGGCCAGACAAAGCTTAGTCTCATTCACACAAATTCGACCGTGAAGATCTTCAAATCCAAAAACATTCTTTTTGGACTCAAAGAATATAATACGTCAAATCTACCACAATGCCGACCAATTGAGGATTTCTTAGTGTATTTGTCACAAATAGTATACAAGGAAGGTTGGCGAGCAAAAATACCACACAACTGATCAGAATAATCAGATTTTCCCTTAAAAAAAATTGACACAAAGACTGTCATTGGAGACCGTCTATTGGAAGACCAAAGAAATTGCGAGTCTATCAAAACAAACTTACGGCACTAGCCGACCATGGGTCATACGATCGTATTCATCAATTCTATATTATTGTAAATAAAATGTCTTTTAAAATGATATATAATAATTAATAGTTATTTCAATTTTTCGATAAAATGTTATGCTTTAAAAACAGTCCAGATTTTTTTTGTCTCACCCTGTTACTTTGCATAACTTTCAATTTTGAATAAACTACAATATTTTGGCGGATCATAAAACCGTAAAAAGCCCATCAGCAGACAAAATCACCGAATACTGCACGAGTCGCGGGTACCTTTGAAATGGCCGTGTGGAGGTTTTTAGGTTTTCTTCACGTGTCTAACACCTAAATCGAGTAAATTTCACATAGAAAGTACTACCGGTATCGTTGGCGGATACCTGTGTTCATTATCTTATTTTATCAATCTATTCCAATCCTAAAACCGTAAAAAATTATAAAAGAAACTTTCGTATCTCTTTTTTTAGTTTTTAACTCTGTTCTCCCTGTGGGTACTAAGAAGGCCTTTTTATATAATAACCACAATGAGCCGGGTGGTGGGGATTGAATTTCATATAACAGGGACAGATCACTCCCTCGAAAAATTCCTGGGGTTTTGAGTCATCCGGATACGATTCCGGATCACCAGAGCAAGAGGCTATCACCTGAACCTCTCAGCCACCGCCCGTCTCACTTGGCTACTAGTATGTTCAACACTAAATTGAAAATTCTTTCTTTTTAAACAATTATTTGTAAAGACGGATGAATTAATATATATCGAAAAAATGAATTGATAATTATAAAATATCAGAAAATTTCAAATATTAAAGATTATTTTTAAGATTACCTGGTTGGTGCGGTGGTTCTGAAAATCCGTAACCGGGTATGGATGGGCATATTACTTCAAAAACATAATCTCTTCCTTGTTTAGGAGTAGTTAAAAGAGGAATAATTTTGTAAAATTCCACAACAGAGCCGGGCCAGCCGTGAATAAGCATAAGTGGTAAAATCCGAATCTAAATATAATAAATATTTTAAAATAAAGAAAAACAAAATAAAAATGACTAATCTTGTTATTGCAAATGTTTACCTTTTTGTTGGTAATCTTTGGTTTTACATGAATATAATGAACCGATATGCCCTCGATTTGAGTGATATATTGTTGAAATTTATTCAATTCATTTACTTGTTTCTTCCAATCATATTTTGTTCTCCAATAAGTTATTATTTCTTTCAAATAATTAGTATTAAAACCGTATTGAAACTGTACATTTTCTAACGGTTCTGAGAGTCGTGCCCGAGACAGCCTCTCGTGAAGATCTTTAACATCGCTTTCTTTATATGGCACTGTAAAAGAACGTATGCTCGTGTCGTCTGCAGGTATTTTTCCATCTAAATATTAAAAACTTATAAATTAATACAGAAAACAGAAATTTGAATTTAAAAACAATTAAATCCAATACTATACCCGCTGGAATTTTTCCCCACCAACCATCTTTCAAAACAGGGATTTCAACATCTTTATGAAGACATGGACAGAAATAAGCAAAAGCAACTGCGACAATTATTACAAAAACGATAAGTTTGATAGCCATACCTATTAAAAAATATATTTTTTCTTAATATTTTAAAATTGTGTAAAATCATTTTGCCTTTAAATCGTTATCAGAACACCAGACAATAGACAGATAGATTATTTTTTTCATTATCAGTTATTTTTATAAAACTTTTTTTTAACATTCTTAAAATAGAGATAAAAATCAACGAAATCTTTCGTAACAAAACTACGTTTCGCATTTTCTTTAAAATTATAATTTAAGTTAGGCTGGTTTATTAATTTAGAATATAATAACATCTATTAAGTAGTAGATGTTTGCTATATCTAAGTTTTAATTAAATGCAATAATTAACTATTAACTTTAATTATGTAAAATTAAATCCTATATTAATTAAAGATATCAAGTAATGTAATATACATTTAAATTTAGTTAAAATTTAATATTTTCTTTCTATAATTACAGTATCTTAATATAATCAGAATTAAATTGATGCGAATTTAATATCCGTTTGATTATTTTAGGTGACCTTAGCGATCATTTTTCTCATAACTAACATATATTACTTAGTCCTATATAAACAATATATACGATAGAATGAAGATACAAAAATTATTTGTAATATATTCTTTAATATAATAGTTTAGTTATACATAAAAATACTCACCTATTGGTTTGGTAGCAGGATAATAAATATCTTAAACTACACGATGTCAAGGACGTGCACGTTTTCCTTCTTCGTTGGGAGGCGTGGTGTTTTTTAGTACTGTTTATCGACGTTAATGCCTCTATACTTAAAAATCCTACATAAAATATTGTATCGACATAAATACGTTTTAACATTTTTCGTACAAAATTAAAATAAATTTTTATTTAAAAAAAAAATTAAATATTATTTTAGTTTATATAAAACCATAACTATATAAACTATAACTATAGCTTTATATAAGAAACTATTAATATTTTTTTTAAATTTTATATTAAAGTAAACTACTTTTTATTTAATAATTCAAACTGCCCATATATATACATATAGTTTGAATTATTAAATAAAATTTTACATATACTGTATATAGTCAAACCCCTCTGAATAACGGCAACTGAGAAAAACATAAAAAATGACAGTTTTTTAAAGGTTATTTTGTATAGTCCTACATTTTTATTTAAAAAAAAGTCCCTGGGGAAAAAATGGCCGCTATTTAGACTAAGCCGTTGTTGGAAGGTGGCCATTATTGGAGGTTTGACTGTATATAATAGTATGTAAATAATTATTTTATAATATAATTTGTAAGAATTCATTTAAAATTTGACTTTTAAAAAGTAATTTTAAAATTAATAGTATATAGCAGTATATTTTTAGCTTTAAAAAATTAAAAGTTTAATAAATAAAATCTATTTATAAATATATAATTTTATATTCTTCTATAATTCATCAGTAAAAGACTACATTAATTTTAATATTTAAAAATAATTTGTAAGAACGTCTAGAAGTAAGAACTTACCTGTACTGAAATAACCTGATTTTTCCCACTTCCTCAATTCTGTATTTGAAAGTTTTTTTTTTAATGAAAATTGGGCCAATCTTATTAAATAGTAAACAGGCCAATTAAAATAACTTATAACAATAATAATTTATTATAATCATAATAATTCGCTTACGAAATATATTAAATATAAAACTTATATTTCGTAATAAATTATGCTATTTTAAACTTTATTTATAAATATACGAAACAAATCAACGCTTAGGACCTCAAAAGTTCAACCCCGACCCAGCCGAACCCATAATGGGTGTGATTAAAAGGCTTGTTCAGCAGAAAAGTCAAAAATGGAAGTAAAAGAAAGTAATTTTAAAATGCCCCGAAAGTATCTGATTTACAAAAGTATTAGTAAAATACGAAACAAATCAACGCTTAGGACCTCAAAAGTTCAACCCCGACCCAGCCGAACCCATAATGGGTGCGATTAAAAGGCCTGTTCAGCAGAAAAGTCAAAAATGGAAGTAAAAGAAAGTAATTTTAAAATGCCCCGAAAGTATCTGATTTACAAAAGTATTAGTAAAATACGAATTATTCTATTTTATTTATAACTAGTAAATATTATATTCAAAATTACAATAGTATAAAACGTCAAAGNACTGTATATAATAGTATGTAAATAATTATTTTATAATATAATTTGTAAGAATTCATTTAAAATTTGACTTTTAAAAAGTAATTTTAAAATGCCCCGAAAGTATCTGATTTACAAAAGTATTAGTAAAATACGAATTATTCTATTTTATTTATAACTAGTAAATATTATATTCAAAATTACAATAGTATAAAACGTCAAAGTGAAAAAATTAAGTATCAATATTCAGGGTTATAATTTTAAATTAACGTAGACAGGAAACAAATACACATCAGAAATTTCCGAAACCAGTTATAAACACGTACCGTTTGTTACGTAATTCCAGGTATTAGACAAAACAATTTTTTTCATATTATGAATTGCATAAAGTAAACAAACATAGCTTTTCATTATCAACGTTGGCAATAAAAAACACTCACGTATATGTATTGTTTATAAAAAATTTTAAATTTTTTCTCATTATTTCGTCCAATAATATATTTCCCCCCGTAAATTTATATAATCATAATAAACAATGAAAACATAATGGTGTTTATAATTCTATTATGTTAATTATCTTTCTTTACTAATTAACAAAATTAAATTATTTTATAATATATAATTTTTAATTAAATTTAAATTAATTTTATGCATTTATTAATTACTTGTTTCCAATAAAATTTTATTAGTTTAAAATATGTTACCGCTAGAGGGCTTAGTGAGCATGAGACCAAGATGGAGGACGTTTGAATGGAATATCCCNAATTATTTTATAATATATAATTTTTAATTAAATTTAAATTAATTTTATGCATTTATTAATTACTTGTTTCCAATAAAATTTTATTAGTTTAAAATATGTTACCGCTAGAGGGCTTAGTGAGCATGAGACCAAGATGGAGGACGTTTGAATGGAATATCCCTTAGAGAGAGACTAAATTTATGAAGCATATTTATGAGAATGAACAGAGCGTGTCCGACTATGTCGTCGTTACCGATAATTGATAAGCAAAGCGTGATCGATATGAATTCTACGTGTAATAAACTGGCTGCTTCGAGTGATCAAAGCCCAGACAGCAATCCCGATTTTGCCACGATCAGACTGGTTAGCAGGATCGTCTTGTTTATACTGAAAAAGTGTTGGCTGTGCTGTGGAGCCTCGGTTTTTCTTATATTTTTTATTTATTGGTATTACGGCAGCATATTAGCGCTTTGTCTCTTCTTTTTTGCAGCATCGGGTAAGTTACAATGTAGGTTTAAGTGAAAATATTGTAAATAATGCTTGAGAGGAGTTATTTTTAGATAATTTATATATATATTAGTTGGTAAATATGAAAACCAAACTTGTTTACATTAAAAGCTGAATAGTTGATAGCTATGTAAACAGAAATGAGAACAGTTTATAAAAATCTAGGATAAATAATTATTTTCTTTTGTTTATTTTGTAATAATGTTTGAAATATAGGTTTTAATATTATTTGTATGGATTCTTATGACCTATTATTAGATTTTTAGTAATCATCTGTTGTTATAGTCGGTGGACCATGTGTAATAATTCTGCTTCGCTTCCAAATCACTGGTTGTTTGATATTTCTCAAGATTAATTTCATAAACCTGCCGAAATTATGAAGTTGAAAATGAATAGAAAATATTTGGGTTGAGAAATATTGAAAACGAATTTCTTTATACATATATATATTGTGAATTTGTATGTACAGTACATACTATTATTATATATAACATATGTTTCGGTTAAAATTTACCTTGGTAGTCCCAATGGCAGTGCTTCGGTTTGGTTAGGTTAGGTTAGGTTAGGTTAACTACATTTTTAGTAGACGCTTCCTTTTTTTTCATTTGTTAGAGAACTACCGTGAATCGGTAACCAGTGACGTTAAACAATCGGCGGCCTGCAGGCAACTCCCCTCTGGGAGGAGTCCATTGGAAGCACGAACAGTTGGAAGCGTGCCCATTGGGCTACCAAGGTAGACTTTAACCTATATTTCATTTGATTCATGATTAATTTTTGTTTTTTCATCTTTTATTTTTATTTTTGTGATTTTTACATTAATATATGTTATTTATGCAAATATACTTAGTATGCGTTTATAAAGTCCAAAAAGTTAAACAAATAACAATAAACATACATAAAACAAATTAAACATGTTTAATTTATTTTATGTATGTTTGTCATGAATATCAGAATTATATCAGGATATAATATGGCTACTAATTAATTAAATATTAAGTAATTTTTCCTACAGGTAGGCAGTTAGGTGCAATTTCTTGAAGAATTTAATAATTATAAATAAACTAGCTGTTACCCACGACTTCGTCCGCGGAGGTTTTGCAAGCAAACCTCATTTACATTCAATATTTCAATAACCATAGTAATTGTTATATAACACCTACCGCTGAAGAGAATTGCCGAGAATCAAACAAACTATTTTCAATTTGATCAATTTTCTAGAACGTTTACAATCGTTCTATAATCGAACCAATATGCAATAACAAATTCGAATTTAAAACGGTTCGAACATTTTTAAAATCAAAATAGATAAAAAATATTTATAACAATGTCTGAAATGTTATCAATTAAATACATCTAAGTACTCAATGAAAATTAAACATAGTTGAAAACAAAAAATTGCATTTAAAATAGTACAGTAGAAGCTGTTTTTACGGTTAAGCCTTAATCCTCTACCTCTCCCCCCGTGGGGGAATTTCGAAAAATCCCTTCTTAGTGTGCGTTTCCATGACGTACTCTAACTGTCTACCAAATTTCACCTCTAGGTTAAGCGGTTTGCTCTGGGCGATGATGAATCAGTGAGTCAGTCAGTCAGTCAGTCAGGACAAGCAATTTTATATATTTAGACTAGCTGCAAGGACCCGCTTTGCTGGGTTTTTATTTGTATGTAATATAGTTTTTTTTATATATATAAAAGACTGTTTTTCTAAGTAATCTAGAATCTAGCTGCAAGGACCCGCTTCGCTGGGCAAAAAGTAACGATAGTGAAGATTAAGATTATATATAACATTATAGCTAATCTTACCCGTTTTCACAGAATGCAAGAATTAGGTCCCCCGTTTCCAGACTAATTAGAGAATTTTTACGTTTAGTCAAACCAACTATTTTCAACGTTTCTGGAACGTTTACAATCGTTCTATAATCGAACCAATATTCGAATTTTATGTTCGAATTAAATTCGAACAAATTCGAACAAAACATTCGAAATAGAAAGC